TATGTGGAATTATTCATAGTTTTAAATACGATGTGTAGGTTTTGGATGTACATTCAGAAAATTCTTATTCCGATATCTACATACAGTAGCTGAAGCTGTACAGATATGTACTAGCTTTTGGAATGCTTTTTTCAAATTATATAGTTATTTACATCTGGTAGTCTGTTATAGATAAGCAAAACAATGGAAGTTGCAACTTATGTATGGCATTCATGTGTTCAGTCAAGAGTCAGACACCATTAGAAATAATTATGAAAACAATACAAGGTGAGTGTATAATGCATATTGCACTTTATGGATATGAACTAAACATAAAATATGACTTTATACAATATAACACTGACATGTTACAGTGTCACTGGATGCCAGGCAAGCTGTCAGAAAGTGGAAGATAGGTGATGATCCAGCAGTGATCTTGAGAATAACTGTTAGCATTTCTATAGCTTTAGGAGCAGTATGATTCACAGTTTGGTCTAAGTAGGTGAGCTGCTGCTTGGAAACTTTTGCTTCATCCTTTTTATATCTTGGGCTAAAACCTCAAAGTAGCTAGATGCTGTACTTGCTGCAGAATTTTTTGTAAGATCACTACTAGATTGTTGTCTTTCTTGCAGAAACGTTTCTCTGAGAATCTTTAGATTAGTTTTGCATGCTCCTTTTGTTTCTGAATTTCCCACTGTAGCTTTGCACCACAAATAATCAATTAGGACTATCCCCTTTAAATCCCTGAAGATACAGGTCATGGGTTTGTCATCTGAAGCTGGAAGTGTTGGATTTTGTCACTGCCTTGACTCAGTTTGGGCTTCCGAGTCCAGGTGGCAAACCCATCTCTCATCCCCATCAGTTAAATGAGAAGCAGGTGGACTTGAATGGACCCAGTCTTCAGGTGTTGAACTTGAGGGCACAAACGAAATGCCCAACTCACAAGTCGTTGATGAGCTGCCTTCATTTCCACGTGATGGCATTGTTTAATGTCAGTATAGCACTCAGTTAGGTATTTAATTTAATTTCATTCATAAATGAATGAAATTAAACATTATTTTTTAACGAGCAGTTTGCATCATGTACTCTCTTTAAGACCGTATACGTGTGTGTGGGAGATTATTTCCAGTGGTGCAAAATGTAATAAATTACTTTGTGGGAGTGTGCCAAAATGTTATAATGCTTTCTATTAATATTTATGTTTACTGTAGTAGAAGTAACTGTATAGAAAATTAACTATAACCATTTTTTTTTCTTTAGCAAAATACTATTTTTATGACAACTATTTTGACTTACCTGGAGCCCTGCTATGTGCAAGAGTAGTGGATTTGATCCATAAGGTAAGCTTTGTAATATAAGCTGCCATGAAGTGAGATCTTTCCTTTTGTCCTTTTGGGTTCAGATATGCAAATAAGCTGTACAAGTACGAGTATATGTTTATTGTGCAGTATATATAGTTGAATGTTGTACTAGATTTGTGCTATAAACACAATCCATACTGCTATCATGCAGTCATATACAGTCTTTTTATAGCTTTTGCCTCTTTCCTGGGTGAGATCAAGTGAAGAAGTTGGTACAGTACTGTATGTCCACTTTTGCAGCAGTGACGGCTTTGCATCAGGTTACTGACAGTTTCAGGAGTTTGAAGTGGCCAAGGTGCAATAAGTCTGAGAATAAATGATGTCCTAGAAATGCCAGATGGAATTCAGATTTAAATTATTCATTGTTAAAGTCCATTATCACAGGGAATTCATTCCCATTGGTAGGTGAATGAGCATGGAATAGTCTTCCACTTAGATGCCTCAGATGTCCAGGGAGCATTTGTCTTGTTTACTGAGCTCTTTAGAGACAATTGAAAGTCCTTTCATTGAAAAGGTCTGGGCAAGGAGTTGTATAAGAGGACATTTGTCAAGTTTAACTACCTCTTTATCTTCTTGTCTTCTTTATCTTCATCATCTTGAAATGGTATATCATGTAGCCCAGAATTTGTAACAAATGTTAGTTTTGTTTGCTAAATCTGGTATTTCCATGCATGTTTCAGCTGTTGAAACACTTTGATTAGTGGCCTGTGTACAATACCATTCTCCCTATTTTCTATGATTGTTTTGTGCAGCTGGGCTAAGCTATTCAACATGTTCTTGACTTGTCACTGGAGTTGTGTGAACCATTTTATCGATTGCTACTATACCCGATGAAATTAGAGGATAGGATTCAATCTGGGGATTCAGGGTCCCAGTAGTGGAGCATTATCTCATCACCAGCAACCAAATGAGTATCCGAAATATCTGGAACAGGTGTTGAAGAACTCTTTTAACTATTTAAAACATTCATCCCCTGTGCTCTGTCAGCTATCTCACAAGTGAAGACGTTTAGGGCTTAACCCGAGGTATTTGAGTGTATCATGCAGAGATCATTAATAATTAATACAAAATGATGCCAAAATCATTAATCGATATCAAAATCCATATACTGTACATATGGTTTATTTTTTCTTAAAATGTATGTGTATGAGTAGGCTTAAATTTCTTTTGATACTCAGTATATACAGTACTTCAACACTCGTGTATATTTGTATGGTGTCTTTTACTGTAGCGTACTATATATTTGTGAAGCATCAAGGAAATCCAAGGGTAGAAAATAGAGTAAAAGATGTTTCTTTTTAAAATATATTTACTGTCTTTTACAGAGTGGAAATGAGATTGTGTCTGATTTTTGGAAAGATATGATTGCTGCTATAGATCACAATTACAACACATCTGCATTTAAAGGTAAGTGGGTTTTGGTGCATTTTTAAGTCTGGAAAAATGTTTATTGAAGCTTTCAAGAATATGTCACAATACTGCCAAGCACTAATCAGAATAAGTCAGTTTGGGGAAAAAAATGAATGCCTGTTAAAATTAAACTCCAATGGATAATTAACTAAACCAGAAGTTATCAGAGTCTTGTCTAGTGGCCAGATGTGAGCTCCACATCAGATTCTCTAAACTCAGCATGATCAGGGATGGTATTTTCTTTTAAACAGATTCCACTGTACAGTGATTCTGCAGTCATTTAATACTGACGTATCCATGCAGAGGTCAGTTTTGCTAAATATTAACCTTTTTGGTAAAAAGGGGATTTCCATATGTGCTTTACTTGAATGGTTCTTTCTTTCAGATTATTTAGATTTTGGCTGAATGACTTACATCAGTTTTGCTGTTAAGTAGCCCTTACGTAGGTAAAATGTAAACATAAACAACTGACAACATAAACAACTACAACATCAGTATCTCCCAATCTAGTTGTTTGCAATATGTGCATGAACATTATGAACACATCATGTATAAAGAAGATTGAAGTTTCTTTTTACTTTTTAAAAATAACGCTTTTCTGATGTATGATTCCACTTTTTCTTTTGCTCTTGTGCCATGTTACAATGAAAAAAGATGAGTTAATCAATTTTGCAGCTCATTTATTAATTATCTATCATACACATTATGCTTTCAACTACATCTGAATCATTATTTAAAAGTAAGTATATTTAACAAATATGGAAACACACGCACATTAGAAGTATGTCAGTCTTTATTTTGGTCATTACAATATATATGGGATATACATCTTGAGGGATATGGTAATGACAAACATACATTTCAAAATGTTAATGGTAAATACTGTAGATTGTCTGATATTCAGAATTTTCCAATTCCTAATTCCTGGTACAGTATATTACAGGTATGCATACAGTTAAACACAACATTGCAATGTAAGACATCAAGCAGGTCTTATAGATTATGTATGTTTTGTTTTTGTCAGTAACACTGTTGTTTAAGACAGACATACAAATAAAAATAAGGATCACTTGCTTACGGTTTCATGAGCTGAGACAAAGCACCTTAGTTCTGCTACTTAACAACTTTTTTATTTCCTGTTTTTTAACTGAATATAAGCACACAGCAAGTTAAAAAGCCACCATCTTGGAAAATATCACTGTAAAAAGTTATTAGTGACAACTAATGATCCACTTAATCCTCTATGCTTTTCTACAGCCCAGCCCAGAGTGAACACACTGTACGTTTATGCTTCTCTTATATAGAAATTTCCAGTTTGTGTGAGCTTTTATATTCAGTTGTATGAAAGAAAACAAAAAAAACACATTAAGAAAGTAGTTTAGAATATTTTTTTCATTTCATACTGCTTGAAGCAGTATGCATCAAAAAATGGGGACAATTGGAGAAACAGTTCATGGATTTAATAGAAGTATGCCGGTTAGACAGTGTGGTATCACGTCGAGCCAATCAGGAATCCAGAGAATGAGCAGTGGATGTAGTCAGTGGCATAAACACCAGTGGATTCGTCATTGGGTATTTGAACGTAGACCTGATCTTGCTCGTTTAGGTAGAGGACAGCACTCCCAGATGCCTGATCCAGAAAGCCTTTCTTGTATTCGTCATATGTGTACATCACTGGGGAACCGTTTTTATATAGGGCGACCCACACGTTAGACCCTTTAACATGCACGTGGTAGGCGAAGTAGTAGACTCCTGGAGTGTGGCAGGTGAAGATGCCGGTGGAGGGGTCATAGTGCTGCTGCTCATTGTAGAGGGTGTTGTCGAACTGGATGGGCTGTCCCGACTCTGGATACGCCTTCGTTAACAAAGCGGTGAAAGCCGACACAGGGGCCTTTTGGACTATGGCCTGGGCCGCTTTAAAGTTTTTCTGGTAGACGATCTCTCCGGGGGGGCCAGGTGGGCCTGGTGAGCCGGGGTGCCCAGGCAGGCCGTCGGATCCTCTGGGACCAGGGAGCCCAGGGGGGCCTGAGGGGCCAGGTACGCCCTTGGCTGTGATGCCTGCAGGGCCAGGTTGCCCAGGAGGACCGGGATGTCCCTTTATTCCAGGTGTACCCGGAGTTCCTGGAGGCCCGCTGGGCCCTGTCGCGCCTGGCGTGCCATCGTCTCCCCTGGCCCCTGGTTCGCCTGGGCGGCCGGGGGAACCCCTAGGTCCCATATTTCCAGGTTGCCCTGGGAGACCTGCAGGGCCAGCTTGTCCTGCCTCACCTTTCAGCCCCGGAGCCCCTGGACTGCCCCTTGCACCTGCAGGGCCTGGTGACCCTGGGTACCCCGATTTGCCCTCAAAGCCCTGTGGACCCTGATCTCCTTTCAGTCCTTTTGGTCCCATGGGTCCAACTGCACCAGCATCACCTTTAGGGCCTGGCAGTCCGGCTTCACCTGGAAATCCCCTTTGTCCTGAAGGACCTGAGGGGCCTGCTGGCCCAGAAGGTCCCGGCTCTCCTGCACGTCCCGCTGGGCCTTGTTCTCCTTTGCCACCTGGTAGACCTGGGACGCCGTTCATTCCTCTTTCCCCTTTCTGTCCAGGAACCCCTGACTTTCCATAACCTGGGATTCCTGGTGCCCCAGTAGCTCCAGGAGGTCCTGGGGGGCCTTTTGGTCCAGCTTGTCCAGGAAGACCTGGTGCACCGTTTTCTCCTGGCTTTCCTATACCTGAAGGACCTGGTGGTCCAGCTGGGCCTTTATGGCCAGGCATGCCCATAGGTCCTGGAAGTCCATCCTGACCTGGCATTCCCTGCTTCCCGGGCTCCCCTGGGTAACCGGGTTTGCCAGGTTTACCTACTCCAGGTTGTCCCGGTAGTCCTGCAGGACCTGCTGGTCCAGGAGCACCTCTCTCTCCTGGATGGCCCTGGATTCCATATCCCTTCTCTCCTTTTTGACCTGGTTGTCCAGGAGCTCCTGGATGCCCCTTCATCCCTGGCTCCCCTCTAGGCCCTGGAGAACCAGCTGGCCCGTGTGGCCCTGGCTTTCCAGGAGCAGAGATACCAGCAGGTCCTGGGATTCCTGGAGATCCTGGCATCCCCCTTGGACCTTGAGGCCCAGAAGACCCTGGATCACCCTTCTCCCCAGGACTTCCCCTCTCACCAGGTTTTCCCGGAGACCCGGGCATGCCTGGCTTGCCAGGGGAGGAATATCCCTGTGGTCCTGGTGGCCCAGGTGGTCCCTGTGGTCCTGGCATCCCATAGCCTCCCTTTCCTGGGGGCCCTGGGGGCCCAGGTGGCCCCGGCTGTCCTGGTTCACCGGGAATTCCTGGTTCTCCTTGTTCTCCCCTCATCGGCAGCACTGCAATTGGACAGGAAAACGCAGTTCACCGCACAGGTTTTCACTTGCGTGCCCGACTGCATTCCTTTGCGTTTTGAGATGTTTCAGCCAACAGGAAAGACTTGACTTTGTGCTACTCCATGTCATTGAATTGTGTGATGTAATGTGCTATAACAGTCAATTTCGTAAAGGCTTTTCTTCTTCATCTCCCAAATGTGGGCACTGCGCTACGAGAATATCGTAAATGTTCTCATTATTCTTAACATTGACAGCATACCTAGGCATAACATACTGTACCTCAAATGTCTGTCTTAATTTTTTCATGAAAATATTTTGGTTTCTTATCTCCGTCTTGAAATCTGGCTTTGATGCTTCTGCTCTTGAACCCATTTTTCTGGCTGTACAATTCATAAATATTTTCAGGTTCATTTAAATTATACATGTGCTGTAAACATGAAACCTGTGGAGTCTCCTAGATTTTCAAATAAGTATTTTAATTATGTTTGATTTTAAGGAATAATTAAATTAAATATTGTGAACATATTTTTATGAGAAATAAAACAAATTAATCAAAGAAAAAAATAAAAATATGTTTATATTTCAAATTATTGAAAGATCCCACAAGTTTAAACTTCTTTAGTATCCCTTTGGGATATGCTCCTTGCTGCATTTTCATTTAATGTTTTGGCACATTAAGTTCTAACTGGTAAAGAGAAGAGACATAACACAATGTTTTGGCTGTGGAGCCTTCTTCAGGTGGTATACCGTGTAATGCTGCATAAATATTCATATTTAATGTACAGTGAAAAATCAAAGTATGTAAAACATCTAATATGCAGATCATTTGTCCGTAGAGTTTAGACTTGGCTGAAGACTAGAATATACTTCAGCCTAGGTGAAATACTAGGTGAAGCGTTGATCTTAAAGTTTATTGGATCATTTTAATTTTTTAAGGTTTATTTAATATTGCTATATCATACAGTAACACTGTCTTTTGTAGTTTAGTTTATTTAGGTGCAATTATTGAGATGTTGATTGAGCATACTCTTGTCATTTTGAGTAAATAGCTTCATATAGTTTTTATGGAGTTCAGGCTTTATATTTTTCTTACAGCATATTTTCAGTACAAGATTGTACAACATATAGTAATATCTATATTGATTCTGTAGATATTTAAATGTACGTGCCATCGGTCTGTCTGCTGCAGTAAATGCATGTCATAGAAGAGCTGAGTGACAAATGTAAAGCAAATAATGAATAAAGTCATCTGTTGGTATTGCATAAAAATAATTGGATATCCTGAAACAGAATACTCTAGATCACAACAGTAATGGTCTGTTTAGATTTGCTTTCTCCTCGTCAGAAGCGAAACTGAAAGTATCAAATACTGTATGTATCAAATATTATATTGTGTTTGCTTTCTAACACTGCAGATTGACCTTTGTATAGCATCAAGAACCAGATTGTATTGCTTGCTGCAGCATTCATATTTGAATGGAGTGGAGGGGGAACGTGATTAATAGAGATGTTTTGAGGTAAAAACAGTCTCTCAGAGCTGAAGAAGTTCAAGTAGGTAGCGCACCCGAAGAAGGCTCCTCAGCCGAAATGTTGTTTCTTTCAGCATGGAATAAACCTTAACTTGTATCTGAGAGCTGTTCAGATTAGGATGTGGCTAAATTCAATTTAAAAGCAGGTTGAAATGAGCATAGTTATCTTTAGGCCAGTTGATTTTTTCACTGGGATAAGTTAGACTGGGGAAGAAGGAGATGGGATGGTTGATCTGTGTTATCCTGAGAGTGCTGCATTTTTCTGATGCAGTTTAGTTTTTCAGTTCCCTATTACAGAGACAGTTTACATGAAGTTTTGTCAGATCTTGCTGCACTGAGTTTTTTTTTTTTGATAACTCTGTTATAGAAAACTGAATGAACTTGCTTCCTGGATATCTTTTCAAAGGAGAGCACTCTAAAATTAACAACCTTGTTTTTAGTAACTGATCTTATTAATCACAAATCTTAACCTTTTGTCTTACATATTGGTTATTACCACTACAATAGAACGCAGGGACCAGAATATGTTAGCACTCCTATATTTCATTTACAGTATTTACTACAGTATATGAATTTACCAGTTACCAAGTTTCCCCAATGAATTTGCATTATGCATGTACAGTAAGCAATCAGTTAAAGTGTGATGTGTTGCTTAAAATGAAAGGAAATTACACTATCTTTATTTAAATGTCCTTTACCATATTATGTTTAATTAAAGCAATTTGTATTCAGTTGCGTGCTGATTAGATAAAATAGTTAATATAAAGAATTGACTCCCTGTGATATTTTTCTACTCAATGTGCCAAGTGATTAGATCTACAGCTAAAAAATTTTGTGAAACATGTTTTGTTTTCTTTATACAAGAAAAGGCTTTTTTTTTGGTAAAGGAAATAACGGTAATTAAAAATGAAATATAACTAATTTCATTTTATTTCGTGTGGTGAGTTTTTTCTTAGGCTTACCTTAATTCGTTTGAACATTTCTGTGATAGAGTGTATTAAAACTAAACATTATGCTGCAAAAGCATTATATTATGTAACAAAATCAATCATAGCATCTAACATTATACGATAAACACTGGAAAAATGTGGACCACATTTTACGTAATCTATATTTTCTTGAAGAATGTTAATTGATATTTCTTATTTTCTGTTGCGATGGAAGAGGAACCGTGAACTGTCATTCTGTGCTTGGCTGATAGCATTAGTGAAATTAGGGGTCATACAGTAGCATTAGTGAAATCTTGGAAGTGGTATCCCATAGCGCCCTCTAACGTTTGTCAGGGATATTGACGGAACTGCTGTAGTGGCTCTTGCCGCAGTTCATGC